CAGAGGTGCAAGGTTCCACGATAATCGTGCTGCCTGGAGAGACTGGCACATTGCTGGGCAGCCTGCCCCATTCCAGATGCTCATACTGTGGGAGTAGTGTCACAGCACGAGGCAGTTTCACAGTGCCAATTTTGTCAGGAACCTCCTCACCCCTCCATCTAGTGGTGCACGACATCATGTCCAAGAAGTGCTCATAGTCAAGAAGCAAGTGCTTGCTCCCCACAGACACAAGCTTCCAATAGTCATCAGAATGTTTCATAACTCTCATCAGGTACTTGAGCACATTGGAGCCAATGATGAGCTCATCACGCTGGCCCGACACTACCAAAACTGGTACAATGCATTTTACACTGTGGACAGTAAGTGTCAAGTCATAAATGCACTTTGGGTGGGTCTGCTTCCCACCACAGCCAACCAGTACAATACGTTCGGCCGACTGCGGTCCACTCACAAGAGCTCCAGCCTCTCTAAGTGACTTCTCGGCCTCTTCACTCATAGTGCAAGCCATGGACCCGGAATCCATCATGCCCCTCAAGTTAACCTTGTCATTCACTGCAACTTGGGTGTAGAACAATTCACTAAATGTAGGCACTACTGCTGGTCCCTGAACCACGACACGGTATCCCTCTGGAATTGTTGAACAGGTGTTGACATAAAGAAATTCAAGATCCGATTCATCATGATTGAGGGTATTAGGTTCATCCCCCACACTGCCCCTCTCCAAGTGTGGGCGATTCAGTTTTCCAAAGGCCAACTCTGCCTCGCGACAGCTCCAGCCTCCCGTCCCTCACGACGACCGTGAGAGTCCTTTTTCCAATGACCAGGAGCAAAGCATGCAAGACAGAGATTCTCTCTCCTGCAGTGCATGTGAGTGGAATGACCAGTGTTGCCACAGACCTGACAACTCTTCTTAAGAAAGGGCCTGCGGGTAAAATGCTGTGAAGGTGCAGATGCAGGGGCTGCAGTCTGCACATTCTGACATGCAATCACGCGATCCAAGAGGCTGATCAGAGCGCGCATGCCAGTCACGTCAAAAGCTTGGGTGTTAGTCGAACCAAGCTCGCAACCAACTGACTGCTGACTAGACTGAGTGGTCACAGGGCTTGTTGGTGACTGTTGGAACTGAGGAGTAGGTGTAGGCACCGGACAAGAAGACACTGATGTCCCAGAAGGACAGGTTGTCGAAACATCAGCTAGAACAGGAGTGAAGCAAACTGCTGTGGGCGAAAGCTGATAAGCGAGGTTTGAGGCTGGTGCTGTAGGCTGAGACTGCAAGCCGACACTCTCCTGCACAGGCTGTGATGCCATCGCTTCTTGAGGCACAAGAGAGCAGTTGTGGCTAACCTCTCTCCTCTGTGAGGTGTGGAAACTGCCCTGACTGCGTGCCCTGAGTTCACGCTGGAAGCTATCAATGCGTTCTTGAACCTCAGTGGTTGTCCACTCCTCAGCTGCTTTGATGCTGAGCCTGTTCAAGACGATGGGGTCAGGGCAATACTTGATGAACATCATCGAGACCTCACGCCCTGGATCCTCAACATTACGCCCCTGCCTACGCAAGCACTCGTCAGCAAAGTCAATAGCATTGTTTAACCTTATCCAATATTCCATCACTCCCTCATGTTGTAATGGTTTGGTGTTATAGAAGTCAGCCATAGGCATAGAAGAGTAAGTCAGTACACTAAAGTGCTGTTTCAGAATGTCAAATATCAATTCAGGAACCTGGACATGGTCAAGTGAGGGGTTGTGACGTAGGGTGACCCTCACTACATCCTTAGCCTTCCCCATCAACCTAGCCAATATGTCACGTGATCGCTGATCTGTTGGTGTGTTGCGTTTTACAAAGTACATTTCCATCATTTCAACCCATTCATGAATGGAGAATTTATCACTGCCATCACCCCTGAAAACTCAGCCTTAGAGGTTTCAGTAGGCATACTGGTCCCCTTATCACCCTGCAGCTGGGCTGCAATGGACTGACCAATCTGATTGGCCAAATTTGAAATGAGTGTACTCAACTCAGCATTGGCAGCTGTCTGCGGGGTCTGAATGTCACAGGGGGGAACCTGGAGACGAGTGGAACAAAACTTGGGAGCAAATGACACACCAACTTTAGGTGTCTGAACCCCATCCCCAGGAAACCACCCTCGCCCCAAACCAACATTAGAGGAAACCTCCCCATCAGGAACACCAGTTGCCTCTGAACCAGATGCTGACTCCATAAAGATGAATAAAGCACAATCACAAGAAACAAGATTCCAAATAGTGCAACTGTACAAAAGCAAACACAGTATTGGTAACTAACACTTAATGTTATTCAGGATGAGAATTGAGCAGATTAAATGTACAAGCTCATTCAAAAAGTCCCACACAAGTTAGGAAAAGCAACCAACTTGGAAGAAGGGCAATTGCGAAGAGCTCCCCACGGTGATCGAGATGACGTCGATGCTTGATGAATCCAAAGGGTCACGGCACCAATGTAACCCGTTCAAGTGTTACGCCTGTTGTTCTTGCGTTGTGTTCTGGCATGAAAGTAAGAGGCAGGAGACAGTACTGGGTCTTTGGCTGTTTACTGCACATCTGCAACACAGAAATAAAAGTCTGTTCTGTGTGTGTCACGCGACTGCCAGTACACTTCTCCTCCGGCCATGCTGAAAGGAGCTGTGTCTGCAGCTTCATTAACACTACAATAATAAATCAAATACAACAAATTGTTTTAAAACATTAACTTAAGCTCTCAAAAACAAAAAGCACAAAATAAATAATATGTCATTAAAAAAACATCAAAAACAACTTATAAGAACAATAAACAAAATAATTCAAAAACAAATAAACAGTCAGATAAATACAATATCTGACCAAGATCCAATATTCTGGTACTTATAGTTCAAACATTATACTTCAGTATAATTATATTAATAACCGCCATCTAACAGGCAATACAACACTGTACTCATAAAAACAATGAATGAAAGACTGCATCTCCAAAACATGAGAACATCTCCATACCTGCAACACAGAAATATGTGTCTGTTCTGTGTGTGTCACGCGACTGCCAGTACACCTCTCCTGATGAAGGAAAAAAGAGTGCATGCTGTTAAAAAAAAGACTGCCGCGAGTATGCTCTCAAGCCGATCAGGCTAACTTAGCATGCTAGCATTTCAGCTGCATTCTCGGCTAAAACTCATTATAAGCGTATATTAGCGAACTCCGCCCTCCACAAAACTTATCCCGAATGAGTCTCTTAATGACAAACAAAAACGCGGCGGTTCGGCTGTATTCACATTGCAGCTTGGGGTCTGAACAAACTTTAATTCACAGAGAGCAACGTGGCAGTGACTTACCTCCGGCCATGCTGAAAGGAGCTGTGACCGGGGCACACATGCACGCGCCTACGTCACCACGCAGCGCACACACACACGAACGCACACAGACTCAGATCACACAGGTAGGAGACCGAGATGCAAAAATGACATATTTAATCCAAAAAAAAATGCGTTTTGGGTGAAATTCACAAGTATTTAACACATATGTTACACACAGGCATGTTTTACCCATATTCTATCGCGATATTTCAATTTTTTATCGTTGCATAACATTGTACCGGTATGGGGAGAAGCCATCATGGGTGGCGATTGAAGTCTTGTGGCTCCTACACCTTAAGAGGTCTTTTTCACTCAGAGAAAAGATCCCGTGTTGGTTTATACAGGGAGTGCAGAATTATTAGGCAAGTTGTATTTTTGAGGAATAATTTTATTATTGAACAACAACCATGTTCTCAATGAACCCAAAAAACTCATTAATATCAAAGCTGAATGTTTTTGGAAGTAGTTTTTAGTTTGTTTTTAGTTTTAGCTATTTTAGGGGGATATCTGTGTGTGCAGGTGACTATTACTGTGCATAATTATTAGGCAACTTAACAAAAAACAAATATATACCATTTAAATTATTTATTTTTACCAGTGAAACCAATATAACATCTCCACATACACAAATATACATTTCTGACATTCAAAAACAAAACAAAAACAAATCAGCGACCAATATAGCCACCTTTCTTTGCAAGGACACTCAAAAGCCTGCCATCCATGGCAGGCTTTTGTCACTGGAAGTCATCTAACCCCTGTTGTTTCAGGGAATGGACTGAACAAATGTCCAAGATGGCATTATATGAGCAAGTTACGCACAGAGTTAAGGGGAGAGAAGATATTTTTGATCAGGTCTGGGGTACCTTTTTGTGGTACATCAACAATGTATTTTAGATAATGGGATAAGTTGTTTATTTTTTAGTTTATTTTTATTTGTCATTGTTATTGTTGTTGTTCTTATTCTTTGACAGCCAGTAGAGGAAAGAAATTGTTTAATATAACCAGTGTCCAAGATCGAGTTTAGTTTCCAGGCTAAACTAGTTCCGTCCAGCCCTAATATAAACTACAGGTGTGTGTGTGTGTGTGTGTGTGCGTGCGTGCGTGCGTGTGTGTGTGTGTGTGTGTGTACGAATACATACATACTAAGAATTCCAGTGGAGCTTTAAATGATTAATAAATAATTCAAAAGTCCAAAACCTGTAACCATGACATTTATATAGTGTCAAGCCTACATGTAACTGTCTTTTGATTTTCACCTTCCCGTTCTCATTCTTTGATATTTTTCATCTTTTTTCCTCTGAACCTATTGTTGCCATGGCTTGAAGTTTCCTGCCAATATCTCCTATCATGGTTGCTTCTATAATTTGGACCATATCATTGCCAGACTCAAGTTGACTTTGGGTGACTCCAGGCCTCCTTCTCAACAGAGTGAACACCTGTGTGTTGTGTTGTTTGGGGGGCCACCTTACAGAAGACACAGACTCTGTTGTAAGCCTGATTTGCGCTTAATGCCATCGTTCCAAGGTGTCACTGACTCGCCAGTAGTCACTGCATTCTTTTCAGTTGTTACCAGATTTTTCCTTGTCAGTGATGTTTTTAGTGTGAGTCATGCATATCTTTCTCTTTCTCTAATAGTTACATCTTCAGACTGAGTTGTACACGTTTGGGCCAATGGGCCATTGGCTATGTGACCACTGATGGAAACATACTGCAGACCATTCCCAACAACAAACCGCTGTTCCAGGCTTTAATCGATGGCTACAAGGAGGGCTTGTATGTAACCTGTCACACATCTCTTTTTCTAACTCACTCTCTGCAGGTATGTGGTGAGCTTGTCGCTTTCTACAAACAGAAAGTCACAAATTGTATCTTCAGTGGTCACATCTGATTCGCTTTAAATGTTTAGCAGCAAACCAGAGATTTGTTGCTAATCTCTGGTTTATATATATGGATCAAGAAAGGGTTTTTGACCCAGAAGTGTTTATCTGATGTTGTCTGTTTCAATAAACCTGATAATATTAAAAGCCTTCAAAAAAGTTAGACATATATATTTAATTCAAGTGGTGGAAAAAACAGGTTATATTACTGATACAAACAGTACTACTAATCCATTTTTTCACTTTACTCATTACATAATTATACCCACTGTTTTTAACTAGACAGAATTCATGATTATTGAATTGTGCACAAGTTAAACTCTTATAAATATAACATATAATGAAATGCTGTTCTTTGTTGTTTGGTTGTTTGCTTTAAATTCACAGCTACTTATTCCCAGATGGTCGCAGTTACAATCCTGACCTCACTGGTTTATGTGAGCCGACACCTCACGATCACATCAAAGTCACACAAGTGGGTTTGTCTGTGTGGTTATGTGTGTGTGTAAGCATTTCTATGTTACTGGGAAAAAAAACATGTATACGTGGAGAAATTTATAATACTCTGCAAATTTCCCACTTGTAATGGCACATAAATAATTGTGACATTTCGGTGAGTAGTATGATTCGCCAGGTAGACTTTGTGTTTCACAGCATTCAGTAAATCGACATGACTTACAGCCTCTCCAAACTATTAAATGTTGAAAATCACTGTGTAAAAGTGTGGTATTAAATGAGGTAATACAAATCAATGGCTTTTTATACTCACTTCTGATTTATTACAAAACTGAATTTTCCATATAGTGTGACAAAAACTTTAAGTTTTCTAGAAGTGAAACCACATTTTTTCAATTTCAAAATAGTACATAAAAGTTGTTTTTAAACCACTTTTTACTAGTGGTTTGTTTATTCATTCATGTGTAATGGTGTAGTGTTCACTGTACTTTGACATTTTAATTTTCTGAGAAAATTATTCCAAACGAGATCAGTTAGGGAATACTGGGAAACTTCAAAGGTGAATGACAGTTGCCCAGCAAGCAGTCTGCTTATTATTTATTTGTTTTTCCTGCACCAGCAAGAGTATTATCTGACAAGGCCACTTTAAGAAAGTTATCCAGTTCTACATCACCATCCAATGAGATCCTCTTTTTCAAATATTTACATCACTGCACAATTTCATGGAATTTGGCTTGGTAGTTTTTGCTTGCATCATTGAAAACATCACTGAAAACATAGCTCCACCAAGGCTTCCGCTACAAAAGCGATTTTCTTCTTGGTAGATTATTAAATGGTCACAATGGAAGTAATTTGGGAAAATTTCTCTAGAAAATGCTTAAAACCATTTTGGTTTATGCTACATGCTGACTCGGGTGGAAATTCTGATTATTCTGTGGTTTCAAAACTGTACAGATAAATTGTAGGTTTTTAGTAGCTAGCAGTTCTTACACAGCTATACCTGTTCTTGTACTTATTTTTGTTTAGTAATGGTGACAAATCAGACTTGGTTTTTCAGGGGGAAGCCTTTAAAATTAAACCAATAAAAATAGTCTGTTTCTGTGAATTTGGTGCGGCACCATTCACTATGAGAAAACATGTTTTTTTCTTTTGAACTGAACACTTATTCAGTTAGATCCCCAAATAAAATTTGGGACTTTAAAGATAAAAGGTTATGGAATAGCTCTGAACGAGTGAGAGAAGAAAAACACATTGTACAAGACGAGATGGGAAACGTGTGTTGTACGGATAGTGCATGTTTATATGTTTCTCATGACTTTTATATGCCATTTGATGACTAACAGCAGTATTTTCTGCATGAACAGGAGCAGTATGAGCTGTACTGTGAAATGGGCTCTACCTTTCAGCTTTGTAAGATCTGTGCTGAGAATGACAAAGACATCAAGATTGAACCATGCGGTCACCTCATGTGTACTTCCTGTTTTACTGCCTGGCAGGTACCGTAACAAATCTTATCACAGAAGTCCATTTCAAAGTTATTAAATATTGGTGGTATTGCATGTGTTTATGCATTTGTTCATTGTCACACTGAGAAATGTTCTGTCCAGTTGGGTAATATAATGTTTTATTTGTGAGCCTGCATTAATGAGCCTGCATAAAGTTTGAAAAGACTTCTGAAAAATACAGTCAAAGCAGCTTTCTTCAGCAGTCAGTCCAACAAACCCCCCCTCTCTTCCTTACTCCTTCCCTGTACACATGAATATGTCCAAATTGAATTTCCACATATCAACAGAAGTGAAAACTGAGACTCTATGCACACAATATATTCCAGTTTTTCTGCTTGTGGTTCTCCTTGTGGTTTTCTGCTTCCTGTTGTCTTTGTATGTAGTGTCTCTCACAGCAACCTGTCCTACAGTAGTGTATTTATTGTGCCTCTTGTTTGTGCGCTGAAAGCTGTATGAGCAGTGTCTGTAAATGTTACTCTCATATGAGTCATTAGCATGTCCTGTTCTCCCTTTTTTCATACGTATCCCTTCGCTGACCATGGTGTTGTAGTCATGTCTCTTCAGACTTGCTAGAGTTCTGCACTGACCCTGATGTTATTAATCTCTGGGCAGATTAATAACACATAATAACATGTGACAGTCTACACATTTTACTCTGAGGGGCTTAAAACAAGACCAAAAATGTGGCAAACATTCACAGGACCTTTGAGTGTTTTTTGCAACACTACAAACACATTATGGCTTGTACAAATGCACCTAACAGCCAAGCTTACAGCCTTGAAGAGTCGGACAATAACTTCTTTAAAATGCACTGCTGAAAAGTTAATACAAAATGAGTCCATGGTTTCCCATTTTCATTATAACTCTAGAATGCTTTAGGCTATTCATATAAAATACCAAACACTGGCAGATCTATAAAGTGTGTGTTTAAACCTATCATTTTCCTTCCCATTTAATGTACTGCATATATACAGTATGTACAGTGGTCCCTCGTTTACCGCGGTAGTTACGTTCTAAAAATAACCCACAATAGGTGAAATCCGCGAAGTAGCTAACTTTATTTTTTTTTACAATTATTATAGATGTATTATGGCTGTAAAACTCCTCACTACACACTTGATACACTTTTCTCAGACAGGCTCCAACATTTCCACACTTTTCTCTATGGTTTAAACACTCTAAAAGTTCAAACCATCGTAGAAAAACAAGTCGAGTATTATAGAATAAAACCGAAGGCACCCACGGTTGCCTTTGGTGCAAAACGTTTCATCGACATTTTTGTGTTTGCTGGAGAAAACTTACAAACATACAGTGCAGCACTTCGGAGTCACACTGCTAGCGATCGACGATTTATGTAAAATTGACAAGCTGAACGCATTCTGTACTTAACAGGAGAAACAGCACGGAGGAGATTGATTGACAATGGTCCACAGCTGATCAGGACGCAGAACACAATGCTCTGTAAAAAAAAAAAGGGGGGGGGGGGGAACATGCAAAGCTGCACAAAAAAAATCGGCAAAAGGTGAACTGAGAACCACTGCATACAGTAAATTAAAGTTATATTTAAAAATTATCTTTAAAATGGAAAATGATGAAATGTTTTTTTCATTATTTATAATTAATTATCCCATAACATATTTCCTAAACAAGATAACATTTTACATTAAGCACCCCAACAGCATCCTGTGGGGATTACCTTGGGACTATGGGATTGTTCCTAGCATAACCATAGAAAAGCTTGGTTCGCATTGCCAGTAGTAAGTGAGCACATTTCCCAGTGAGAGTTGGACTCCACCAGGCCCACCCTCCTTCAAGACTATGTTCATAACTTTTATGGACAAAATGTCTAGGTGCAGATGTGTACTTTGGTGGCCTCTGGATCATGTTTCTGCTATTCCCAGATGTGGCTCTTCTGGCTTTATCAGGCGGTGACCTCCAGCTTGTACTTGGGAGGTCTGCAGCCATACAGTATATGGAGTAGCTGGAGAGAAAGATTTCCCAATCTTCATTTAAAAAACTTGGGACTGCAGGTACAGCAGGAGTTACAGTAAGGAGTTACTTCTGGTCTTCAAAACCAGGTTTGAAAAATAGGCAGCTCTCGCAATTCTAACAAGAAGGTGAACAGCAAATACTGTCATTTAATCATCGATGAATGAAAAAGGAGCTACTGTTTTTACAAGACCGACTTTATCTAAAATAGAAAGACGATTATTAAAACGATCTGTTAAGAGATCCACGCCATTATAAGAGGGTAAACATAAATGAAAAGCTTAAAAAAATTTTTTTAACACTTTATTTGTAGTTTTACAATTATTATACATAGCATTCTTATTATTCTACAGATAACCACAAAACAACAATCCCCACAGATCATAAAGACAGATAATGCCAAGACAGGAAAAGGGAAAAAAACAAACAAAAAAAACCCTCACACACACACACAGACAAAAAAAAACAAAAAAAAGGGCGGTGCACCTCTCAATTGTTTTTACAGGACTGTTCTAGGGCAGACAAAAACATTCAAGGTTCCATTTAAATAAAATCAGGCGTCTCGCTAATAATGACAAAAAGGCAATGACCCTCTGTAAATGGGCAGGGGGAACAGAAGTCGCGATACCAGAGAAACAACCAAAAATTGCCACAAAGGGGGAAGGCGAGATGTTATAGGCATAGGCTTTAGAGATGACTTTAAAAAATGATGACCAGAAAGGAGCAATTTTCGGACAGGACCAAAACATATGAAGGGAAGTAGCTGGAGTCTGTTTGCATCTATCACACGATATTCGGAAATATTTTTTGCTAGTTTAACTGTGTAACACTTTAAATTGTATTAGGGAGTGTCTTGAACATATAGAAGACAAATGGACTCTGGTAAGAGCCATATGCCACTCTTCGTCAGACAGCTGGGTACCCAAATCATTCTCCCACTGTTCTCGAATGTATGAAATAGACAGGTTACAGCTGTCCATGATATGTGAGTAAATAAATGATATTGTGCCTTTTTTCATCTCATTGACCCTTAGTATAGAATCCAAACAGGAAGGAGGGGGGAGAGTAGGAAAATTAGGAACCTTTTTACGTATAAAATCTCTGATTTGCAAGTATCGCAAAAAATGGTTATTAGTCAGACCACATTTCCTAGATAGTTGTTCAAAGCTAGCAAACGTATCATTAATATACAAATCCTCAATACTCTGAATGCCCCCGTCGTGCCAAATTTTGAAGCCATTGTCCATTAGGGGTGGTTGAAAAAGATGGTTATGTATTATTGGAGAGTGAATAGAAATACTCTGAATACCCAGATGTTTTTTTTTAAACTGATTTACAATGCTTATCGATTGAGTAACAATTATGTTATCTTTAACATTATTAACTAGAGGTGGTAGGGGTGCACAGAGTAAAGCTGGGAGTGAATGCGGCCTGCCTGTGACTCTTTCAATCTGTAGCCACGCAGGGATCTGATCATTCCAGTCCTTTAGCCATAGAGAGATGGTATTGAGATTTGCCACCCAATAGTATGTGTGCAGGTTTGGCAGTAACAGCCCACCTAAATTTTTTGGTCTTTCCATAAATGCTTTTCTTATATGAGGCGTTTTATTATTCCATATAAATGAAGAAACCATTCGATTAAATGACATGAAAAAAGATTGTGATATGTAAACAGGTAACGCCTAGAGCAGGGCGATATGACCAAAAATATTTATCACGATATAGATTTGAAAATTTGCGATAACGATATAACTGACGATAATTGACACTAGACAAAATACTTTACAACTCCACAATTTTATTAGTGCAAAAAAAAACCATCAATGTATTTTCACTTAAACAAGCAACTGTTTTTTGCATTAAAGTTATATAAAAATGTATCAGTACAAATGCAAATTCCTTGCTGACAGTTTAACCAAAAGGCATTTCCAGTGGAAATTGGCCGACATATCCTCAGCATAAGCAAGTACAATATCCACAAAACTTAAAAAGCGCTTATACACACGCAAAACGGAAATATTATGTTGAAGCACCGTACGTATCACTCCGCCAGGCTCCTGCCTACGATAGCCGCAATGCTCCGACAATTCATCAAGTGGTGCGGGTTCGTAGCTTAGCAAAGTCGTACTAAAACATTTGACAGATTCGTTTCGAGGTCAGTAAACACAACCAGAATTCAAACATAAGGCACACGGGACTATAAGGAGCACTGTCGATTTTCAGAAAAATCAAATGATTGATTTTAAGTGTGCCGTATTTTCCAAAAAACACGGTAATAATGACGGTCCTCTAGCATGCTCTACCAAAAGTAGTGCTTTGTTGTGTATCTGACGGAGGAAAGCTAAACCAGTTCCACACCACTGAAGTTGCAGCATTTTTACAAACCAATTCTGGTTCATCGGTTTCATTCAATGATCCGCTTTCGCCCTTGTCATTCTCCGTCGCCGCCGTGCCTTTTTCGCCATGTGCGTATGAAAACAAATGCACTGCACATGCGCTTTTTAGCCATATTCTATCGTGATATTTCATTTTCTTGTCATTGCCCAACATTATACCGGTATTACGGTATGATATGGCCCAGCCCTAGTAACACCTGAAATAAATACAGAAATTTTGGCACAATATTCATCTTTACAGAATTAGCTCTCCCAATGAGAGATAATGGTAAAATAGATCATCTTTTAACATCTTGTTTGCACTGTTCCAATAGAGGAGTGAGGTTACTTTTAAACAGACTGTCATAGGATTTGGTGACTTCTACACCCAGATATGTAAAGGACTCGGTAGACAACTTAAATAGCAGATTGGGGTATTCTCCTGCATTATTACTGATGGGGAAGTATTCACTTTTAGCTAAACTTAGTTTGTATCCAGATATGCTTCCAAATTCCTGTAAGACTGAGGATTTCAGGGGTAGATGTGATTGGATTTGTTACATATAACAACAAATCGTCCACATGCAGTGAGACAATGTGAGTTATGCCACCACATGAAATACCTTG